TATCAAGAGAATAGAGCACAGAGTTGGTAATTCGATTTCGATATGTCTGGGTATCACTTTCTTTTGAGAAACAGTAAGTGTCATATTCCATTTTTGCTAATTTTCGTTTATTTTATTTTATGGGAGATAAATTTTTGGGAATTTCTAACTTCACTTTCCTGTATTAAATTTTACAATTCTTCTCCATTGTGGAAGGAGGTTTTACAATCTTCTCTGGCCTTTTACTAAAAATATACTATACTCTAATTATTATAAAATTTCTCCTTTTTTTTTCTTTCTAATATATAGGAAACTCTATAGGTATATAGATATGGATTATAATTTAATTCGATGAGATCCAAATTTTAGTGAATATCAACTGTGATAGGGATACTTTCAAGACTTGGATGTTCAGTATTTTTATTAGAATCCCCTTAATTTCTTTTCCCATGTAAATTATCACAATTTTTTCTTCGTACCATTCATAATAATTATTTTCAACTACACTGCCATTTTCTTTTAATTTTCTTGAATTTTTTTTATCCCTCTAATCACTATGCTTCTAATCTGTTTTAAAACAGATTGTCTCTTTCACCCATGTGTCATTTTCTCCAATTCCCCTATATCATTATTAATGACAACACGTATATTCTCTCTTATTACCAACACTAACGTTAAATATAATCTCATATTATTATTATAATCACACTATATAGATCAGAAAACATACATCTGAATTTAGAAAATTACTTTAAAACGAGAAAAAATGCAGGAAATAAAATGGCGATTATACAGCCACCCCTAAGCCCGGAGCAACGATTCCTGCGAATGTCGGTGGAATATCGCGTAAAAGCACGACACGGTGGATAACCGGCTGTTTAGATTCCGCGTGTGTAACACTGCGCTCATTAGAGAGCGGCGCTAATTGCATAATTGGTGCCGGCAATTACGAGCAAAGCGGTGCCGCGTCGGCTGACGTCAACATCCAATAATTCGGCACGCGACGACAATCGCGCGCTGCACCGCCGCGCCATTGCGCAAATAGCACGAATCGCAATTAAAAGCGATAATACTGTAATTAGCTTGCCGTCACGCCTCGCCCGTACTCGCCACCCTCGCGCTACCCTCTCGCAACCGCGCGGTTCCACCCCTCGAATCGGGGAGACGAGCGACTGGTTCTTGTCTCTCGACGAGCCTCGGTGCTGGCGTTTATTCGACAGTTGGTGGAATCTTGGATCAACCCCTTGCATTCGGATTTAATTCTGAAAAATGACGCATCGCGGGAGTATCTGACTTTAGTTTGCGATATAAATCGCACAGAAATCGTAGAATTTCTTCAAATTTTCTGCACCTTGAAACGCGTTAAATATAATTTTTGTCGTGTGACAAGTGTAGAGTATAATTCTTGTGGAATTTGTTTCGTAGGTGAGAAATGGCTTGGTGCGAGAGTTAGTGCATATGATGTAGCGATTGTGTGGGTGTTGATATGTGATGCAAGGATATTTGTTTCGTGTGTGAGAGAATAATCTTATGGTTGGAATCTTAGGTGATCGTTATGGGAAGGAGTCCATACTTAGAATGAGAGGGTGTATAGCGAGCAGAGTGTTAATGTGAGACGAAGAGTATTAAAGAGATAGAGAAATATAATTTTGGGACAATTATAATTATTAACTTCATATATCTATTTTGTAACTAATAACAATTGGAGTATTTTATAATTATAATCATTGTCCAATTTATTCAAAATTCCAACATTTGATAAAATCTCATAACAAGTTATGGTTGTGCAGAGGGTTAAGGGTGTTCTTGGAAGAGTAGGTAAGTCTGTGTGGATCATGTGCATGTGTGTATACCTGTATGGGTTTAGTTGGATGAAGGGTAAATTTAACTCTTTGCATTGAAAATTCTTTTGTAGAATTACTTTGTAACGGTATTTATGTACTTTTGCATAATTTATGTAGTAAATTATGTTTTCTTTTTCTTCTTCTTTTGTGATTTGGTGATTTGTTTGAAGAAATTATAATTTTCGTTTCATGTCTCGAGATTTTAGACAGTCGATTGTGAAATTCCACAATTATGCTTTACACGAATGATTTATCAAATGATATATTATAATAAATATTTCAAAATTTTCTTAAATAAAAATTGCCACTACAAGCAGCTTCTTCGAAATATCATATATTTAAGAATAATAATTATTACAGTTTTGAAATTCCTCGAATATTTTATTTTTAAGCAATTTATGATCATTTAAGAAAATAATAATTAGAAATTTATGGCATTATTGTGACTTTCATAATATTATATATCAAGATGGCTTTGTTTCGTTTAATGTTTCGAATTTGGGTTGAATTAGGTTTGTATTAGGTTGCAAGTTTTGTCCAGGGTACAAACGCAAACTACGTTTCAGCATTTCAGTGAATGTTAAATACAGAAAGCCATAAATTAATATCCTGCTGATCGAGGGGTCTAAAATTATCAATTACATTTAACAGAATTGGTATTAGTGTCAATGTTGATATTAACAGTAATTAATATTAATTGAAGTCCGTATTAATATTGATACCGCTATTAGTATCAGAATTTACTATTCCACAATTCTTCCCAATTTCCGGTCAGTTTCGTGCTACCCTCTAATTTCAACACACACTTTTTCCATATCTATACATTATTTACACATTCATCTCCCATTTTCTCCACACCTTTCGAATTAATAATAATTATAATTTCGTAATTTTATCACTTCCAGAAACAGTATCTTCATTCTTTCCGAAAATAAAATATTCCATTCTTTAAAAAATTTTCATTAATTGTTTCAGACATTAAATACTAATATAATTTTGTATTTTCAATATTAAATATTTTTGTAATATATAAAATAATTTTATATTAAATTTATTAATTTAATTAATTACTTTCACTCTGGAATTTCATTTTTCTCAATTATCTGCATAAAGTTTATATAAAAATTTTTCAGTGTAAGAAAGTTGCGATGGCAGAAGTTCAATTAATTTCAATTATATATAAGAACATAATTTTACAATTTTTAAACGTGATTTTTTTTATGCAGCATTTTTGGAAAAAATATCAGGAATTATTGCAAAAATTGCTGAATCGATCTGCCTTAAATATTGCATAGTTATTCCATTTTGAATTACCTATTTTTATCTCCCCCCCTTTTTTGTTTTGTAACTCCACAGTCATCTATTCACAATATCTTTTTTAATATTCATCTCAGCTTTTTCGAAAATAAAAATGGAATGTATTCCGGCGTGACATAGCAATTGAAATTTTAATTAATCAGTATCTGACAAAAAAATACCTTTTTTTTTAAATCTACTAGACTGTGTAATAGATTTATTTTCCTAGTTAAAAAGTCAAAAGTTTTTCGGTTTTTCTTAAATAATAAACGACTTACACACAGTATGTCGAAAGCTCGCACAAAAATGCCTGTCTTACCATTACTTTTTAACATTCTCCAATAACCCTCATACAACGGATAAATAATTAACAACTCACTCTAATATCACATTCATTCCCATATAGAAAAAGAAAAAGTGAAGTCCCAGAAATTATAAGAAATATTATAACTCTCGCCCCACATAAATATAATACATCCTTCAGTTCTCAAGAAAATCCTCATTAACTATCATTTTTCACTATTTCATCCCCATCTGTTATACCAATAACCAAACTCCCATAAAAATTTCTGAAATCCCCAAAAATCTATTATCTCGAATTAAAATGCATTATTACTCTTACCACATACATATAACACATCCTTCAGTTCTCAAGAAAATTCTCGTTGCCCATCATTTTTCACTATTTCACCTCCATCTATTGTACCAACAACTAAATTCCCATAAAAATCCTTGAAATCCAAAAAAATCTATTATCTCCAATTAAAATACATTATATCTCGTACCACATAAATATAATAAATACTTCAATTCGTAACAAAATTCCCATTACCCAACATTTTTCACTGTTTCATCCCCATCTACTATACTAACAACCAAATTCCCATAAAAATCCCTGAAATCCTAAAAAATCTACCATCTTGAAGTAAAATACATTATAACTCTCATCATATAAATATAATACACCCTTCAATTCTCAACAAAATCCTCATTACCCATCATTTTCCACTATTTTTCACTATTTTTCACTCCATCTATTATACCAACAGCCAAACTCCCATAAAAATCCCTGAAATCCCCAAAAATCATCTGGAATAACCGCGTTACCAATAATTAATCGCAAACTTGTAAACCACCCCCCTCCCCCCCAATTCACAGATCTCACCCCATAAGACACTCTGAAACCTCATCAAACCTGATCGAACACTCACCCCCCATTCTGCGACCGCGAATCGCGTGCACGTCGACGATTTATTATTCCATCAAAGCTGGTAGTCGGTCGTGGTCCGATTGCAATGGACCAATGGCGTCCCGATTCGAAATGAAAACGCACGGGCAGAGGAGCAAGAGCGGATGGGAGCGGCGCGCCGCGTCCCAACGCGTCTAAACGGCTACGCAAAATTCGTGGAGCGGCCAATTGGAGCGACGTCGTGTCGTCGTACATTGGAAAACTTGACGGAGACGCGATTAACGAAGATTTCATTAGGGACAATATTGCGCTCGCATCGGCGCTCGTTGACCGGCGGGGTCCTGGTTTCTTTATTGGCCGGCTGGAATAAATTGGAGGGAATTAATTAAGCGGCACAAATTGGATGCACCGCGTTAGCCCTTATTCCTGGATGACACAATTTAATAAGCATCTCCTACTCGAAGGCCCTTCGAACGGGGTGCCTGGAGGAATGTGAAGGACAAGGGAGAGGAAGCTACTGCGTGCTTCCGTTAATTGCGTTCGCCATGATGCAACGTGACTGTTCCTTCTATTTCTGCCGACACTCTTTGCGTTGGATAGTGTTCTCTTTGATCGAGGTTAGGTTTTGGTGACACCGGGATTATGATATTTGGGGCGATAGCCTCAATCGATATGATGATTTTCGTTTAGGGATGTATGGTAGAACTGATGAAATGTTGAGGTGTTTACATGTTGGAGATTGGGCTGAGAATTTTGGGGTGAGAGATTTAAACACAATTTTGAGATTTATATTTTATTCGTTTATTTATTTATTTTATTAATTTTATATTGTCAAGTATAATATTGAAAGTGATTTATGCTGTAGGAAAAATGGGAACAGAAATTTTGGGAGATTGATGTGGATGTAAATTAGAAGGGATTTTGGAGTGAAGAAGTGTTTAGGTTTGATGTTGGGTTGGGAATTGGGTTGTGTGAGAGGTAAGAACAAAACAGATACTTCCATTTTATTTATTCATTTTTCTTCCTTTTTGAATTTTATATTAGAAAATGTAATATTGGAAGTGATTTTTGATATTGGAAAAATGGGAATGAAAATTTTAGGATGAGGTTAAAGTGATTTTGGAGTGAGGAAGTATTTTAGTTTGATATTAGGTTGGGAATTAGGTTGTGTGAGAGGTTGGAACAAAAGAGAGACTTCTATTTTATTTCTTTTCTGTATTTTATATTAGAAAATTAATATTGGATGTGATCTTTAGTATAGGAAAAATGGGAACGATAATTTTGATACGTGGTTCTCATTTATGGATATGGATGTATGATAAAAGTGATTTTGGAGTATTGAGGTCTTTAAGTTTGAAGTTAGATTGGGAATTAGGTGGAGTGAGAGGTAAGAAGAAAAGAGAAATTTTTATTTTATTTATTTATTTATTTTATTAATTTTATATTGGTAAGTGTTATCGTATTATTGTCCATTGAATGCTGTTTTGCTGAATGGTGTTACGATAACTGGAGGAATTGAAAGGAAGAATGATTGAACTATTATTAGTGCGTCTCATATTGGATTAATATTAGTAACATCTAGCAAAATTGATTAAGGTTATGTTTGAAATAAAGTGATTTTTGACATAGAAAAATCGACTTGGACATAAAATAATACCAAGCACCCTCATATTAATTCATAAAAATAAAACATTTCCATTGTTGAAAACAGTTTTGCACGCTACAGCATATAGGTTCATAGTCATAAAGAGGTTAATTATAATATGTGACTGACCCATCATCTGACATCATATTTCTTCATGAACAATCAAAACACATTACTCAAATTTATTTTAACAGTTAACTCCTATACCCTTCAGATCAACTATCCATATATTCCATTAAAATTATTAAGGTAATAAAAGAAATAACCACTGTCTTCTCTGCACTCTCTCCATAAAATAAATCCAAAGATTTCTAGGAAATCAAATGAACCAATAGATATATTCCATAAAAGCAAACAGAGGAATACAAATTTTTCTTTTATCTGCTTAAACATGAACCACTATTAAAACAAAAAAGATAAGGAACTATTTAAAACAACTATTTTCACATAATCCTCTTCGTAAAATAATCCATCCACTTTCCAAATAAATATTTCGCGAAAGGGAACTGAAAAATTCTAAACACCAAATTTTTCTCTTATCTATTCAAATATGAATTTCGACCGTTCAAAAAACCATCGTGAACAGCTACCTACACAAAATTTTCTCCATAAAAGAAACCCAATAAATTCAAATGAACTAAAAATGTGTCCCACAGAAATAAATTTTGAAAATAAAAAATAAAATCTTCCTTACGCATCCAACCATTGACTAACTAGTAAAGACGATTCACATAAATTCTAGGGGTCACTAGACATATTCCGTACCTTTTCAAAATTTGGTATACAAATTTTGAAAAGAAAGAAAAAAGAAAGAAAAAAAAAGAAATAAGATTCTTATTTCGTAAATTATACAATCATTGACTAACCATTGAAGACGATTCCCAAAAATTCTAGGGATAACTAGACGTATCCAGAATTCTTTCAAAATCTCTATACCAAATTTTGAGAAAAGAAAGAAGGAAAAGGAAAAGAAATAAGATACTTATTTCGTAAGTTATACAATCATTGACTAACCATTTAAAACGATTCCCAAAAATTCTAGGGATAACTAGACGTATCCAGAATTCTTTCAAAATCTCTATACCAAATTTTGAAAAAGAAAAGAAGAAAAAGGAAAAGAAATAAGATACTTATTTCGTAAGTTATACAATCATTAACTAACCATTCAAAACGATTCACAAAAATTCTAGGGATAACTAGACGTATTCCGTACCTTTTCAAAGTCTCTATACCAAACTCAAAAAAATGAAAAAAGAAAATTAGAAATAGAAAATAAAATACTTCTTCCTTACAATTATCGACAAACCAACCACCAACCATCGACCAACCATTAAATGCGATTGACAAGAAATCTAGGGATAACTAGACGCATCCCGTTCGCTTTCAGAATCTCTCTACCATCCTAGCAAACTCTGATCGGTCGGTTCGAAGCAGAGACTTGCTCTCGAGGCAGTGTTTCGATTGGCACGGGTCAAGTTTTGCCCCAGAACGTAATATCGTGTCGCGCACAATACAATTGTAGATCGGCTTCTTCAATAATATTACGGCATAGACGGTTAACGGGTTAAGAGCGCGCATTGTCGTCTCGTTGAAAAGAAATCGAGGACGAAACGAACTGTGGGTAAATATGCGCGGCGTAAGGCCATTTTGCCCCGACGATCGCGACGGCCAATTAGACGCCACGACATATACAGGGTGTTAATAAACGTCCAACGAGCGTTTTCAGACCGTGCAGCGGATATGTGTGCGTGTGTGATTATGACAAATGCCCCGACACATCTGCGGGCTCCTCTGTGTCAAATTCGATCGTAGGGAAGATGAGTGTTGTATTTGCTCGTTCATGTCGATTTTGCTGGGGAGACTGCCTTTCGTAAAGTAGGTTGGGCATCTCCGAGATCGAGGATATATTTTTCACTCACATTTTCGCCAGTTTTCGGTACACGAGTAGGGGTGTGATCCGATGTGATTCGCGATGAAATTACTAAATTATTTTATTAATTTTTTTCTTTATATCGTGATATTTTTAGTCATGTAATTGTTATGTGATTCGAATATTGCATTAAAATTATATTTCTTAATTTTTTCTCATTTTTTCTGATTTCTTAATTTTTATTTTTGGGTAATTGGATATTGAATCGATTGAAATATAAAATATGTCTATTATTAAATAATTTTATTGGTGAATTTTTAAACAATGTATTGTAGATATTATTTTTGTATTTTTAATTTTGGTATATTTTATAAAATAGTATATTTCTTTAAACGTATGGGTATTTCGAAAATTAATTAACATTTCTTTAAATTGCATTTTTTATTTAGAAAATCTTAAATGATAAATATTAATATGGAAATAAGAACAGGTTTAAGTCTAAAAATCTAGAATCTTGTTTAAATTTCTTGATTATTAAGTTACTGAAATAATTAGTATTCTTTGATTGATATTATGGATTAATGATGTTTTATAATATTCGCGTTTCAATTATCTCAATTTTAAGATCAAACACAATATAACGTAACACAGGATTCTAAACCAATCTTAAACGATTCGATATTGATTTATCAATTGCAGACAATACGGTTTCCACTCGACTAACATCTTCATTGACAGACAATTTTTACTATCCACAGGAATTAACATCTCAATTTTTATCCTCTTACAATTCCGTCTCATCGTTAATTAAAACTTTCCAATCAACATCAGAACAATTAAATAACATTGAAACCCTAAGAATTTCTTTTACCATTTCTCTCCATCTTTTCTAAATCTTCAAAAATAATTTAAATCACAGTAAATTTAGTATCAGAAAAAATATGAAAAATATCAAAATTAAAATATAAAAAAGAAAATACTGAAAAATCGACTACATGTACCACATACCATTATTCAAACTACAATCAATTTACTATAAAAAGAAAATATTAAAAAATAAAAAGATGAAAAATAGCAGGAACAGGTGTAAGAAATAAAATAAATTAAAAATACTGAAAAATTCATGTACCACGTGTATCAGAAAATTGACGTTTATACCATAATAAACTTAGCATTAAAAAAAGATGCAAAATACCAAAAAGAAACATAAATAATAAAATTTAAAAAAGTACTGAGAAATACAATCAATTTACTATAAAAAGAAAAGAATGAAAAATCGACCACGTGTACCAAAAATCGCCATAATGAACTTACTATTAAAAAATAAAAAGATGAAAAATAGCAGGAAAAGATGTAAGAAATAAAATAAATTATAAACATTTAGAAATTCATGTACCACGTGTATCAGAAAATTGACGTTTATACCATAATAAACTTAGCATTAAAAAAAGATGCAAAATACCAAAAAGAAACATAAATAATAAAATTTAAAAAAGTACTGAGAAATACAATCAATTTACTATAAAAAGAAAAGAATGAAAAATCGACAACGTGTACCAAAAATCGCCATAATGAACTTACTATTAAAAAATAAAAAGATGAAAAATAGCAGGAAAAGATGTAAGAAATAAAATAAATTAAAAACGTTTAGAAATTCATGTACCACGTGTATCAGAAAATTGACGTTTATACCATAATAAACTTAGCATTAAAAAAAGATGCAAAATACTAAAAAGAAACATAAATAATAAAATTTTAAAGAGTACTGAGAAATGCATGTATCAGCTGTACCAAAAATCGTCGTTTAAACCGTGGAAGATTGAATTCCGAGCACGATCTACTGCCCATTGTCAGAGATTCTCTCGTTTCATCACGACGCGCAACTTTTCCGATTGTTTTCTTCGCTTACACCCTGTAGAGAAGCGCGCTGCCCTGCCTATAGACCGCATCGAGTACGGTGTAATGTACTTTGGTTAAGCGCATCGGAGCATGCTCGTCGCCGAGTTAACGCATTTAATGGAGGTTAATTTTGCATATGGTATTGCTCCCCCGTGCCCTAACCTCTTTACTCGCGCACGCTCAACCATCCCCCGGATCGTAAGCTCACGACCAAACTACCCGAAATTACGGCCGCGGTACGTGGATCATTATTAAACCGGTCGCTCGATCTTTCCGGCTGATCGAATTATGCGGTTAAGTATTCAGTTACTTAGTTTCGTCAGTTTTCCTTTTCTTTTCTTTTTCTTTTCTTTTTTCGGCTTGGAATGTTGCTTTAACCCAGGATTCGAGGTTGCTGTATTCTACTTTTGTCTTTTTCCTTTTTTCTCGGGTTTCTTTTTGGTTTTTCAGTGGCAGTGCTTTAATCGAGTTCGTCGGTTTGCGATTGTTCGCTTTGGCTGACAGTTGTTCCGAGTTAGGCGGTCGTTGCTTGTTGGATTTAATTTGTTCTTTCGGAGAGCTGTTTACTCTTTCGATTTTCCATTTTGCAGTGGAATTATACAGCATGCTAGGATAATTTTTCGTTTGTTAATATTCGTAATGTTAATTCAGGTTTGATTACTTTTTCTTTTTTTTTATCTGATTGTGAGAATGATTAAGGAAGAAGCAATTATTTAAATGTTATTGTGTGTTTATTATTGGAAATATAGGGGTTATATATTTTTGAGGGTACTGTTTTGATACTTTCTCGTTTATTAATATTGCTGATATTAATTTAGGTTTGGTCCCATTTTTAAATAAAAAAATGTAAGAAAAAGAAAATGTAAAAAAAAAGAAAATGTAAAAAAATTGTACATCTCTACCTGTTTACCCCTTCGCCTACAATATCGTGCGAGACTCGTAGTAAGGATATTGGGTCGAACATAATTGCCAC